GCGGGACGGGCCAGGTCCTGCGCCTGCGCGGCAGCCCGGGTGGGCTCGGGGGCTCCCCGCGGCGCACTGGGTGCCAGGGCCGCCGGGGAGGGGCCAGCGAGTGTCGGCTCGCCGAGGCCAAGAAGGCCCGCTCGCGCCTTCCGCAGCGCTCCTTCCGGTGATGATGGACACGGTGGCTGCGGCCCTCGTCCCTCTGATGTGCCAGGGGTCATGGGCAGCACCGCGGACACGGCGGTTGCCTGCGGTCACGCTGCCCTCTGGCCGCTCAGCGGATCTCGGCGACCCTTCGAGTTGTGGCAGCGGTTGCCCAGGGAGGGTGGAAGGCGAGGCCCCCGTCTCGTCTCGGCGGCACCTGGGAGTGGCCCTTCGCTGGAGTGACCGCCTGCTGCGGGCCCACGTGGGGTCCCCCGACCGCTGCACGCGATGCGACAACAGCTGCCAGCGCGCTTGGGTTTGGCCCCCGCTCCCGCGCGCGCCCCGCCCCCCCCCCGAAAACGCGCACCGAAGGGCCACTCTTGCAGATGGCCACTCTTGCGTGTAGCTGATCGCCTCCCCGCGGGGGCCGCGCGCCTTTCCCCCCATCTTCAGGGTCTGGCCGGGGTAGTGCCCGGCGGCTGTTCGGCGGAGAGGGGCTTCACGAGCTCCTCAGGGACGTCCACGAGGGAGTCAGGTCTGGCGGGGGCGATGTCATTGCCAGGGCCATGATATATCCCAGATGTCATGGCCTGGCCCATTTTATTATTGCGCCACCATAGTGCCCTCCCCATCGGACGCGCGCATTTCTCAGGCCATGATTTACTGCCTCTCTCTTGGACACCCCATTCTTGGACGCCCCCGAGATCTGGCTCCAGCTCTGGCTCCCTCCCTCCCTTCCTGCCTCAGGACTCGTGTATAAATAGTTGGTTAAGTCTTATACTCGACGGTTACTAAAGCGTCGACCAAGCAGGCTACCGAAGAACACCTGTTCACCTCAAGCCTGCATCACAACCAGTCGGAAGACTATCAATTACCCGTGTGGGCGGCAGCCGTGTACTTCAACAGAGCATTCGATTGCGTCAGACACGATGGCGAGCACGCGAAGAGCAGCAAGCACCCACATCCTACGCCGAGCTTCTGCCGACAATATACGCCAGCCAAGCCGCCAGAGTCTGCAGAGACTACAAGCGTAGAATTCAACATTGAGAGAGGAGTGAAGCAAGGGGACCCGCTCAACCTACTCCTGTTCAATACATTCCTTGAACAGCTTTTTCGACGCCCGAAACAGTCTTGGTCCAGAAAGAAACTCGGCATGCCAATGAGTTCTGCCACAGACGTCATTCTTACGAATTTCCGTATTGCAGACGATGTGATGTTGTATGCACCGAATGTGCGCCAATTGAAAAGTGTATGCGAACGACTTGCAGAGCCAGTTTTCCCAACGCGGCCCAGAGCTACATCCGGAGGGGGCCCACTGACTTACGAATGTCACCCACCGCCAAAGCAGAGCAATGCAATTCGCTACCATCCACGAAGACATGATGATACCGTTTCAGTCAATGCGGAGCACCAAGTACCTGGGCAGAGGGTTCACGTGCCACGATATGTCACATCTCACGGCTTCCACCAGAAGGAGCTCGATACTGTGACCGTTCGGGGATGGCGCAATTTTAACAAACCAAAGCTCGAAAAGTCGTGTAAACACTGCCCTCTCGCAAGCCGCGTGCGACTCTTCAGCGGGACTGCGACGCCTGCCGTTATGTACGGATGCATTTCGTGGGTTTTGCCAAGACATGGTCACTACGGCACGGCGGACGCAACGAAAAGCGATCAGGATGATGGTTGGCACCAGCAGGGGCGCACGCTGGGCCTCCCCGCGAGTGACGGCCAAGCGAAACCTCAAACTGGCAAGCCCGAGCACGTGGGGAAGCCCGAAAGCAGCTCCAACGGCAGCGACCGCAGCAGCAGCAGTTCCGAAGACAGCAGCACGGAGTCCAGTGTTGACTCCATCCGGAGAGCAGCGCGCACAGGTAGCGCCCACGCCAAGCAAGCCCAAGTCTAAGATTGAGACACGACAGCGTGCCTGCTGTATAGCAGATCAGTCTTACTGGCAGATGGCCACGACGCGCCGCCAAGTGGAAGCAAACGTCTTGCCCACCGGCATTACGGAGGGCGGCGGAAATATGGGATCATGGCGTCGTCAGTTTCTTGGTGTCAAGAAGCCCCATGCCCTCGCCGTCGTGTGAAATTTTTGGGCAATAGCAGAGCACCCAACGACATTGGTCACCGATGGTGGTTACAATTCGCCTGCGGCAACGACGAATGGCACAGGTTGGAGGGAGAACATATCACACATGCGGTTGCCTATTTGCATCCATCCACGTGAACACCGACATCACGGTGTAAGGGCCACGGTCCCACCCCCCGCGATGATTTTCGAGAGTTCCGATCCCGCAGATCCGCGCGTTTCGCCTTCACTTTCCTCCCTGCCTCCCTCCTTCTGCTCTTCTTCCTTCTCTTCCTCCTCCTCCTCCTTCGCCTTCTCCTCCTCCTCCTCCTCCTTCTCCTTCTCCTCCTCCTCCTCACCACCACCACCATCACGGTCATCCTCTTTTCTCTCTCCTCCGCCCTCTTGGGGATAGGCGGAAGTGGGAAGACTTGAGAGCGATAGCGGGAGAAGACGAGGGACACGTCTGCTGCTCTCGCCTCTGTTGGTGTGGGCGGGCGCGTCAGCTGTAGGTCTGCAGCCAGGTCGCTGCCAGCGAGGCGGTCGAGCGAGCCCCAAGTGGGATGCCCCAGATGTGTGAGCTCGACTCGTCTGGCCTCAGAAAACAGGAGGAGGGAGAAGCGACACTCGGGAAGGGAGGGAGCGAGGGGTTCTGGGCGTACCGGTGATACGCCAACGCTGATCTTGGCCAAGGTCCACCCTGTGCCCACGGCCGATGTTTGTGTAAAGCTGGCCTCCACCCAGGCATGGAGAGAGAAGGGGGAGCATCTGATGGAAGGTCCCCAGACATCCAGGGCTTCGATGTTTCCGATGCGTGGGCCCCCGGGCTTCTCGACCCCTTCCCCAGGGCCGATGTTTCATCCCGAGTCGTTCTTGGACGGCCCGGGGGCCCGAAAGCCCCCAGAGGCCAGAATCGGTGACAGACCGGTTGCCTCGAGTTTTGTTCGAGGTGCTGGATGTGTGGGTGCTGCGAGACCCCTGTGGAGGTTGGCAGCCGTTCGAGCTCGACGGTCGCGATGCGCTCTGGGTCGGCGTCGGCGTTCTTCAACAACGACCGCATCAAGTTACAGCGTAAGGAGCGCCGAAGGGCTAATCTACACCTTTTCTCCTTCTGCGCCCCATTCCCCTCTACGCTTGGGGCCAAGCTTCACGTACGAGCGAAAGAAGGGGAGGAGGTAAGACAAGGGAGGCGACAAGGGAGGGGGGAAGTGACAAGCTAGGTGCGCTCGCGTCATATCTGACGTTCCACCCCTCCCTCCCATCCCTTACCATGGCGTAAATCTCTTCTCTTTTCGCACAATCGGATGTCGTAGCATGGCATAGCATAGTGTTGAAGATCAACGCGTAGCATGACATAGCATGGCGTGGCGACGCCCCAAAGTGGGGGGGGGCTTCTGCGGCGCAAAATCAACGAATCGGCACCGAATGTGTAATCACTTCCGATGGTTTCTTCGCGAGGACATGTTTCAGATCTTGGAGCCTATATATTTAGAAGGACCGAAACCATGCCGTGGTATGTGGCATGGCGCTGGAAATAATGACGCCAGCGCTGCAGCGGGAGCACGATTCGCAACGAGCGGAAGCGCGGAAATGAGGCCAACGCTGCAGCGGGAGCACGATTCGGAACGAGCGGTGGCCTGAAAATGAAGCCAGCGCTTCAGCGAGAGTAGCATTTTGAAAACAAACCTAGCGAAAACCCGTTTCTGGGAAATCCTGTGTGTAAAATAAAACCAGTTCGCGAAGGGGGGCCGGCCATGTCCCAGACGTCACCAGGGGAGAGAGGAGAGTAGTATTCGTATTGTGTAATTGTGAAGATGAGTGGAAAGGTAGGGGGAAGACGGGTAGGAGAGGAGGAGGAGGAGGAGGAAGAGGAGGAAAAAGAGGAGGATGAGGGCTGCGAGGAGGAAGGGCAGGAGGAGTCGTCATAGGCGGAAGAGCACGATGATGGTGGTGATGCTGGCGTTGATGGTGTTGAGGATGATGATGATGGTGATGATAATGATCATGATGATGATGTTGATGATGTTGCTGATGATGATGATGATGATGATGATGATGATGATGATAATGATGATGATGATGATGATGATGATGATGATGATGATGATGATGATGATGATGATGATGATGATGATGGTGCTGGTGATGATGATGGTGATGGTGCGGGCAATGATTAGATGAATGACGAAGGTGGTGATGATAATGATGATGACGATGGTACTGATGACGTTGGTGGTGGTGATGATGGCGATGGCGATGGTGATGGCAATGACGATGATGGCGATGATGACGATGACGTTGCTGATAGTGATGATGATGGTGAGGATGAGGATGAGGATGCTGATGAGGATGAGGAGGCTTATGATGATGGTGATGGTGTTGGTGTTGGTGTTGGTGTCGGTGGTGGTGATTGCGATGCTGATAATGCTGATGATGATGAGGAGGAGGATGAGGAGGCTTATGATGATGGCGATGATGATGATGGTGATGGTGATGGTGATGGTGATGGTGATGATAACGATGGTGATGGTGATGTTGCTGCTGATGGTGGTGGTGACGATGGTGATGATGATGATGATACTCTTGATGATGACGACGATTATGATGGTTGCGGTGGTGATTATGATGGTGATGATGATGGTGATGATGATGATTCGTGATGGTGATGGTGATGGTTATGATGAGGAGGATGACGATGATGATGATCATCATCATTATCATCATCATCATCATCATCATCATCATCATGAGCATGAGCATGAGCACGAGATAAGCATGAGCATGAGCATGAGCATGAGCATGAGCAGCAAGAGGATGATAATAGTTGAGCAGGGGGCAGGAACAGAAGGAGCAGGTGGAGCAGGAGGAGGTGGAGCAGCGGCACCGCCAAGGAGCGCATGCACAAGGAGGCGCTGTTCCGAATTGCAGAGTCGAAGCCGAGGAGCGAGCGGTTCCACAAGCCCATGAACTGGGACAAGCTGCCCCCGACTGACGACGTCTATGCCCGCAAGTTCTCCGGGAACGCGGATACGGACGCCATCGGTGGGCGAAAGCGGTGCTCGACGGTGCACAGAAGGGGGCGGGGAGATGGGAGGCGGCCTTTAGCAGGGCGCTGCGTTGAAGCGCTCCTGCCTTTAGGAGGGCCTCTTAGAGGCCCCCGATCCCTTCTGAGAGGTCCTCTGCGTTCTTGAAGGCCGTCCCCTTTGCCCAAATCCCATGGCCCACTGCCAAGGTACACCCTCTACGTCCTGTACAAGTACGACCCTAGTGCGCCCGGTCAGCAGGCGTTCAAGGAGTCGAGGACGGGCGATGGGAAATGTCTCCTGACCCCGACCTTACAAGAAAAACATTTGGCTGTAGTGATCACACGTTGATTGCCTCAAGGGGGAAGGTGAGGGCACAACTCGCGATCAGGGTTCCGGAAAGGGGGGAAGCGACTCTGGGGGAGAACACGTTTCTTCGAGTGCGGGTCAAGTTTGGGGGGATGCTCCGAGCTGCCCACAGGGAACGTTTCGCGAAGTTCTTGAAGTTCAAGATGTCATGCTTCAACGTCCTGGGCACGCAGACCAAGAGCCCCATCGACGGGGCCAACAGGATCAAGCTCGAATACCCCATGAAGGAGTACGGCGACAAGGTTCGCCAGGGCGGTTCGTTGAAGGCCAAGGCCATCTATGACACCGCCATCATGATGACCTGGAACTTCGCCGCTCCCCCCTCGGCCATCTCGTACATCAAGCAGGAGATCTACAGCGACAACACTGTCCTCAGGCGCATGGTCTGAATCAGCATCAGGGGGGAAGGGATGAGGAGCAGAAGAAGCAGAAGCAGACGCAGCAGGGAGCGAGGAGGGAGGAAGGAGGAGAATACCATGCTCAGGCACATGATCATAAAGAACACCAGGAACTTCAATCACATCGGCGAGGACAACGAGGGGCACCTGTGAGCTACGCCAGTGCTCCTGTCGCCAGCCACTGACGCACACCTCCGCAACTCCTGCTCTCTTCTTGTATGTTCTAGCCCACTCTCGTCTAGCCTAGACGTGCCTGGCCAGGCCTGTGCCTTGGTCCAGCCTCACCCGGCCCAATTTTGCCAGGTCTAGTCTGGTCGATCCGAGTCTAGCTTAGCGGTCTAGCATCGACTAGCCGAGTTGCGTTTGCTTTAGTACAAACCAGTCTGGCGAATCCCGTGTAACACAGAGTCTGGCTTATAGCTTAGCTTATACAGCCTTGGCTGGCAGACTTCGACTATCGTGCCCAGCTGTGTGCAGCAAATTCCGTCACCGTGCCCCAGCGCAGCCTGGAAGCGCATGCAGGATGATTTGGGGGGCTCTGACGGGCCCCCGGGATGGAGCATTCTCTTCCGAACGAGGCATGGGCGGACGGCGCGAGTGGCGCCGTGGCAGGGATCTGGCTTCGGCTGGAGCGCCTGGAGCGTCCTTGGCGACCGCCGGAGAGGCTTTCGCCACGAAGGGAGGAGCAGAGGCCGGCGGAAGTGTTTCCCTGGGACGCTGAGGAGAGCCGCAACGTCTGCAGTGGCCGTGCCTTGGGGGCTCCCGCACCTAAGGGGGGGGAAGGGGTGCATCCCTCCGCTTCATCTTCCCCGCAGGGGAGGGCCGAGGAGGAACAGGAGGAGAGGGGCGATGCAGAGAGGGTGGGCGAGGTAGCGTTCGAGGGCGAGCATGTGCAGAGCAATCTGTAGGACTCGCCCTGCCTCAGCCGAGCGGATTCTAGTGTAGTTTGCAAGGCCAGCAGCGCGGAAAAAATCGCAGGGGTGGACATTCGTCCACACCTCCTCTTCCCCCTTCCTCCTCCTTCTCCTCCTCCTTCCCCTTCTCCTCCAACTCCTCCATCTTCTCCTCGGATCGGATCGGATCGGATCGGACTTCAGGCCTGTCTTCAACGGGGTGCATACAAGGATGACATGTACGCGGCGGGCCTAAAGGGTCCAGCTCAGAGTGATGTCGTAGATGTACGGCAGTCTCTCACACCACTGCAATAAAGATGTTCACGACCAAGAGAGAAACATCAAGTATCTCGTCATCATGGTATTTCAAATACAGACAGCCCTATGTGGAACTGGTACGACGCGTTTGAGAATGAATACTACTTCAACTAACAGGGCACCCACCAGTGGTACTTGTAGGCCATGTTTGCGATAATTGGGCTGGCCCGTAGCATTGAAGAATACAGCTTTCGATCCAAAGCACTTACAACATCATCATCGCCGTGATCATGAAGAAAGACTGCCACCATGTCGATTGGATAACCCTGAGTTGGAATTGCCTCCTGATCATCCTTGTCGTCGGTCGGCTTCCGATCAACCTCCTCTTTAACTCGTCCTTCTTCACCCAGGGCGTCCTGCTTGCGAAGGCGGTCGAACTGGAGGTGGTGGGATTGGTGGCATCGGTCCGTAACGGGTGCCCCACATTTCATCGTTGTTGTTGCGTGCTGCGCTTGGGGCGTTTGCCTTCTGATACTGCTGCTGGAGGCTTGTAGGCCTTGCTTTGGTCTGAATGATGTGCTACTGCACATCCTTGTCTCGATCACGTAGTATTGCGCCCTTGTCTCTGTCATAAGTGTCGTCAGATTCAGACGGTTCCAAAAGCTTACCAGACCTGATGTTATTCTGCTTGGTTTGCGCTTCAGGCGCGAAGCGAAGCCCAGGGGCGGCGGGTGAGATTACGAGGGCGCGGGCCCTGGTGACAAGGGCGGCCTCTTGGATGGGAGCTTTGCACAGGACCACCCGCGCCCTTCGGATGGGCTGCTTGTGATCGCACGCGTGGTTCGTGCGAGGCCCCCCCGGAAACAGCACGCAGCCGTCCGACTCGACACGGAGGTTTCTATTGCGCGTTCGTATGCCGGCGGTGCGAGGTATACCAATTGTTCGAGTGTGGCATTAACGGGTTAACGAAGTCGCCGTTGAACGTTGTAGAACATTCAACTTCATCCTGAAATTCCAGCCATCCAAAGCCCCGAAGCCGTTCAATGTGTATATGATGTGGTTACGCTCGTTTTTTTTATATTTTTGTTTCATGTATGTCCTTAAACACAACGCACGGCGAAACGCAGTCTGTGCCTCCTCAGCGTGTGCTGGAGATGTTGCTGCGCCTCTGTGATCGAGTTATTGTAGCCTCTGGTAGCACCATACGCAATGTGTGTCACCGTCTTAATCCCCTGACCCATATCATATCCATTTTACTGAGTCCCTTCGAGTTGGTTGCCGTACCCGAGATGCAGCTAGCAGATTGATGTGACAAGTGCAGGGTGTCTGCTGCTGACAGGAACCAAAGATGGCGATTGACTTGGCGGAACCATTGTTCGTATGTAAGTGATGTGCTTGCTTATGCTGACGGTTGCCTTGTTTATGATGGGGGGGTCCATGTATTCTGATGGGGGGTTTCATGGCGTAATCGTCACATGTACCCTCGTGCTTATGTTATTGAGCATGCCGCATTTTCCCACGCCCATGTTTAGTATGACACCATATTTAAATTCTTCTTCCCGTGGCAAACAACATGATGGAATGTGTTCGAAGTGGTTGATCAACTGCCCCTTCATGCCTGGCATCCATGGACCAGACTTGACAAGTAGATTTTTCTGGGACATCCAACGGAGCATGTTGTTTAGTCGCATGTTGCCGTGGAGCTTTCACTCTAGTGTATATCGCACCACATTCATAACATGCGTGCTGAGGCAGTTGGATACATCGAGTTTATTGTGCCGGCGCTTCTACCTGAGATGCAACACAATCTGTCATATGTTTGTTTTCCGTTGGTTAAATATGAGTCCTCGTTGCTGCGGAGCTTCTTTTATACTCGAGCCATCCACGTTGTCCGACTCCTATTTGAGTTCGTGTACCCATATTTGTATGCGTGTCGACCCAGCCAATTTTTTATGTTTGATAACCAATCCTCTTGAAATTGTACATATAACAGTTAGGAGACGCTGCAAGCATGTCGGTCCAGTATTGATCATACGCACTGTATATCAACGTCTTGCAATTCGAAACGCTAGATGTAGTGGTGCTCGCTGTGCTGTGGCGTATGCATAATTTGTTGTGTAGCGCAGTTATGATTGCTTCGTTCTCGTCAGTCCTAGCGCGAATATGTATACTGCGTGTTGCGTATGTTGTAATATACGGTATAAGTTGTTAGGCAAGGTGCCCCGGATTCCCGCATTGTACAATGGTCTGTTGACACCAAGGGCTTCACCGCATTTGACATTTGCCTCGATCGATAAAAGCGGCGTTTTACGCAACGCCCTGCTTAGAGGCCCCATTCTCGCGGCCCGCATTCTCCTAGAAACATCGGGCCCCAGGTGCCCTTCGGCACAGATGACACTTCCCAAAACAACCTTCGGCATCATGGTGGGCAGGCTCATGTGTGTCATGGGCGATGTGATGCGTGCGCCCCCCAGCAAGAAAGCCGGCATGTATTTTGTTTGGCGCGTTTCACGGCACGAGAAAGTAGCGTGGCAGATCTGGTGGGTTGGAGGCGAAGTTCATGATGTAATGTGGCTGCCCCCACGACATCAACAACGAGTCCGAGTGCGCGCTCAACGTCAATTTTGTCGATATTGCTACAAACATTGATACCGTTTTACGAAGGAGCAATTCGTGGCCTGATTCGACTTACCTCGCACATTTCGATGGGCGAAACATGCGGGGAGCCCTAGGAAGAACCCTCAAAAAAAAAACACTCGTCGATAACCCTGCCAGTTATATTCAGAATCTCCGCTTCCAGTGCATTGAAGCTCTCACTTGCCATTTTTATTCCCAGTCGCGATTCTGCCCCAGAGCATGGCGCGCCCCTGCCCCCCTGCACCATCCATGATTCCCCTTTTGGTTTTCGCTCAGCACAATTGCCAGATGCTGGCTGCCCGCTGATTTGACAATCTTGCTGGGTTCCGCTGGTCTCTGTTTGAGGACAGTGATGAAGAAGATGTGAGTGCCCATGCGCGCAACAGACATCTACGAAGACAGCTGGGCCAGATAAACAGCCCAGCAACATGTTTCTGACAGCGGCGCGACATGCCGATTTCAACCCTTGCAAGATTGCAAATGCAGTTCAGATCGGCTGCCGCGACACCCCCCCCCAAAAAAAAAAAAAAAAAAAGATATCTCATGCGATGCACAACGCAATCCGTAACATGTTCTGCCCTTGATCCGCACTGCTATTCGTGAATAACGCTGCACACAGTCGAGCGCTGCACGGCGAACGAAAACATGGTAGCCTTTGCTGACTGTGTTCGTGCACGCGATAGATTTATGCGACGGAAGCAGGTGCGGCCTATCTCTCTCGGGCATTGGTGCTGGCCACCTTCCTTTTGAACCCAATGGGCTCAACACCGGCGATGGTGGCCCCGACCATGATGGGGCGCAGTAGCCATGGCACGTGGGGCCGCCCTTCCAAGATCTGCCAGTTGCTCGTCTATACCACATAGTTTCGTTGCGGGTGCCTGTGTATATATACACATATACTTGCGCATAGGATGTCTTGCCTGGTCTGTGCGAACTTTGCCGTCAACGCACGCGCGAAGTGCGTTTGCGTTTGTTGCGCTCGCTGCGCGGTCTACTCCTTGACGTTGCACAATGCATGCTTGCACTCGCCGAAAGGTTCCTGAGCTGCGCGCGTTTGCTTTTCAACTGCGTCTAGCATCTTGCCCGCGTCACCAAGTCTGCACGGAAGCGTGCATGTCTTGTTCGTTCGGGCGGTCTGCCCGAGAAAGGCAGCGCGGCGTTGCGTCCGTTCCGTCATCGAGGTGGAAGATGCCAGCATATCGACGCGTTGATGCTCCACGCCCCTTCGCCGTCGGAGCGTTCCTCTGTCCAGCCCCAATCGTTGCTTCATGTGTGCACGGGTGGTTTTGAGAAACGTGATCGAGAAATTATGCCGCGCGCCATGCCCTTGTCCACTCATTAGCGCAAGATCAGTTGCCTGCCAAAACCGGCTTGCCCCCTTCATCGCAGAGGCCTTCTGTCAAGGGCCATCGTGAAGTATGGTGCGTTCTTGCGCGATCATCCGCTTGATGCGTTTGCATCGTGAACGGGCATAGCGCGCCGCCTAAAGCATTGCGCGCTGGTCTTGTGAGCCGAGTTATCTGCGTGCTTTTCCTTCTTCTTCTTTTT